CTAAAAGACAACCCTCTTCCCCACCACAAAAGATTCACCTTGTGAACAACACCTGGAGATGTTTCCAAAGCCCTCACCCCTCTCCTGCCCCTCTCCACCCTTGGCCAGCCCTTCTGTCCACCCCTCGTACCAGACTTGGGGTAGGTGACGTTGAAGATGTCATCGTCCCGCACCAGGAACTCGTTGTTGGCGAAACTCGCGCTGCGCTCGGAGTTGTAGGCAGGGGGGAACTTAACACCTTCGTACGTCACGTAGTGGACCGGCATCACGCCTGGGTGGGGACGGGGATGAGGTGCTGCAGCTCTGCACCACTATGATGGGGCGGGAAGAGAGACAGGGCAAGGGTGCGGACTCCAAGCCAAGAAACCTCACAGCGGGTCCCAAACAGGAGCCCAGCCATCCCATACCCCCGATACCAGGGGGTGTGTATTATGGGATAACCCACCCGGGCACTCCCTGGTCCTTCCTCATGGGGACTCTACCTCAAGAGCAGGTTACGTGGACAGGGGGCTGCTGGCTCGCAGGGCACTTAAGGAGCTCTAGGGCCCAGTTCCTGCTAATGGATCAACCTCCCGTCGCTCTCCCCTTGCTGCCCCGCATGTTTACCTGCCCTCACAGCTTGGAGGGGTGTCAAGCAGCCACCGCTGCAGGATCTCTGGCCAGCCAGGTGGGCAGGGGGAAGATGGGAGCCCTATCTGGTGCCCAAAACCCACCTTTGCTCTGTTCCAGGAGCTACAGGTCCTCAGAGGTGCCAGGAGAATAAAAAGGGGAGGGGAAAGTTTTCTGCCCTTATGTCACCATTCTGAAGCAATGATTAACAAGATGCAAAGCCCAGCGGGCATCCCTTTCCCGAGGTGGTGTGGGTGGGCTTGGCGGGCGCACACCGGTGTAGGTCCTTTTGGAGCATGGTGGGGTGGGAAGCTGGCGTCCTGTGTCCTCTGTCTTGAACTCTAAGAACCCCACTTTTCTCCCACGCCCCTTTGAATTCCCACCTAACCCTCTCCCTTGTCCTCCAAATACACTATTAAACAATTTCCTTAAACTGAAGATCCTTCCCCAGAAAATTTCACGGTAAACTTGACAAATCCATGTAAAAAATGGATTATTAAAGTGGCTCATTAATAATAATAATAAAAAAAGTCCTTCCAGGAAAGGCAGAGCTGCTGCTACAGCAAGAAGGGATGGGGCAGATCTTCTTTTTCATTAAAAACCTTTGTGGTTGCACTGCAGGGGAGGAAGAGGAGAAGTTCTTCCTCCATGGAGGCGCTATATGGTCCGCTGTCAATCCAAGGACAGAAATGTTTAATACCACTAACTGGAAGCAACCAACGTTTCTCGTAAATAAGGCAGCCACGTGATCATCTGTGAAACTGAAAGTATTTTCTAAATATTCCCCTAGGAATGCAGCAAGAGTTTTGCTTTTTCTCAAGAGGACCATTTATTGGAAAATTTCATGTGACATGAAGTGCTGATAAAAGTAGACTGAAAAAGAAGTCTGTGCGTGGAGTGTTTGAGAGGTAAATATTGGCTCTGAGCACACAGGACAGTTGTTTTTTTAAGACAACCAACTACAGAAACAATTTCCCTTTCATCCTGCCTTGTTTCCCAAGCAAACAGGACAGAAATTTGGATTAAGAAATGTTTAAACACTTCAAAGAGGAATGTTAACCCGCCGTGTTAGCATCAGAGGTGGAAAATTAAATTAACCCTTGGGATTACCCATCACCTTCCTTGCTTCCAGCTAAGAACAAGGTAAGCAAAACGAAAAACCTCAAAGCATTAACAATTTTACTTCTTTTTTTCTTTGCAATCCAAGTGGGTATCTACATTTCTCAGAATGTAGACCTAAAAGAAATCTACCTGGTGTTTTATGATCCACAGTTAATAAATATAATCAACAGGTAGTAAATAACTGTGGGCTTGCCTAGCTCCAAAAAAGTAAGTATACTGGCCCAAATAATTATTAAAAATTGGATGACAAATACGTTTGTAAACACCTTGGTGTGGATGAATTGTTCGTTACAAAACGGCAACGTCTGTATTTTAGAAATACATATTTCATCTATTAAAAGGCATTAAAATATTCGAAGCGACGTTTGGTTAGTTAAGACACAGAGAAACCCCAAAATTAATATATTAAGTTTTAGGTATTTTTAAGTTTTGTTTTTAAAACACCCATCCATGCTACTGGGGGGAAAAAAAAAGGCAAAGAAATTATTTTAAACTGCAGCCAGGGCATTGAAGTTAAGCTTTAAGGAAAAGCCTGTAATTATAGTCAAGTATTAAAGGTATAAACATGCCACAGTTCCAAATCAAACTTGTCACGCCAGAATTAATAGCAATTAGACAATTTTATAAAGTGAAAAACGAATGAATGCATGCGAGCCTTTTAAAACATAGTGCTGAGGTAGGAACAGAATAAAGTAATTTCTTCAGCACTAAGGTTTTGGAAAGAACTCTCAAACTTCTTCCCCAAACCAGAATCCGCAGTGATTTAGAATGAATTAAAATTAGTTCATGAATTAAAAGTTATCACCTTAAAATTAATTAAAGTAGTGACAGAGGAGTGAAGTCTCATCAGAGAAAACCCATTTGTGCTAAAGTGGAACAGAAATCAAACACGTCACGCTTTTGAGGAGCCCGGGCAATTCCCCCGCCACTGCATCTCCAGGAGGACTTTGTCCCCAGTTGGGTGGAAAATTAGAAACAAATAACTAAAGCAGCAAAAATATTAATATCGGTTTTGGAACGGTGGTTTTTCTGACTTCACCTGGATGGGAAGCACTGGTTAGACACCCTGGGGAGGCACCAAATGGTTGATCAAAGGTTGAGATGGCAAAAGGTGGTTTGTCTTGGCATCAGCCAAGCTCTGGGTCTTCTCTGGAGGCACCTGGTGGTGCCCGTCGATGATGGGGAGCAGCTCCACGTCTAGATGGGGTGAGGAGGAGCATCGGGTCCCTTGGGGAGGTGATTCCCACCCCTCCCCACTGAACATAAAGGGAATGTGGCAAATTTAGGTGCCTCAAAGCTGCAGCCCACCAGGGTGACTGGCATGGTGGTCCTCCATTGGGATGTGCCTCAAAGAGGTCCATGTCACCACGTCACCATGCCGCAACCTCCACCATGTGCCCCAAACCAAGTCCTTCGCGGGATCCCAAGGAGGCAGCAGATTGCGTTGCAGCATGAGAAGGTCCAAGCAACCTGGGGAGATGGGGAGACATTGCTCGCCTGGGTGGATTGCACTGGGCACCTCCAAGGACCTCCTTCACCTCCTCTGACTGTGGTTATTTGCAACCTCCATTTGATTTGTTTTGGTTTTTTTTTTCTATTTTTATTCTATTTTTTAAAACACAGTGTGGGTTTTCAACCAGCTCCTGCGTCTTTTATTTCCCTGCTCGGTACAGTTTGTGGTTCATGGTTTGCTTTGCCTCCTGCCAGGCTCAGAGAGCTGCATCCTCCAGCTGGGGACATCTCAATCGCTTGCAGCTCTTTCAAACCAAGGGCAAGTATCCGAGCTCCTGGAAAACATTTCCCTGAGGATGAACAATGATTGTCTGTGTCGCTGCTTTATCTTGAGTCCCAGGGTTGGGTGGGAGCTCAGAGCTCCCCTGTGGTGAATCCCAAAGGCGCAGTTTGGTTAGCAGGGTTGTTGCAGAAATCACCAGATTTAGGATTTTAGGATACTGCTTGGAAATCCCCTTACTTTTTCCATCTTGATTTCAATATCAAGAATTCTAATCAGTGGATATTAGTAGGAGAGACTAATGATTATTTTGGGAAGATAAGTCTCGAATGGAATAAATGATCAAATATAAAATACAATTTGTACTGCCAATGCTGCTAGCATACCCTTGTAAAGTCCCAGACCTAAGGTGTTCATTAACCAATGATCTGTTAGTCGTTAAGAAACAAGGATAATGTGTTATGGTCCAAGATGTCTGCAAAACAGGATTTATTATGGTGCCCATTGCGTATAATCTTTGAATCACGACCAAAGTAGGTACGAGCCAAGAGCCTACGAGCCAAGGACATGTTCCTTGATCATACCTGGTCAATTCAAGAGTGGTCGAGACCTCCGACTCACGGACCACTTACCCAAATTATACCCCCTACTCACAAGGGAACAACAGAAGACTGAGACAGAGGCTGCGCGCTAATTTGCATCAGAAGGGAGAAGAACCAATCATCGAGAGAATGATAATGAATATGCATTGTATAGACTGAATATGCATGAATTTAATATATAAATATTTGTTGATTGCAACGTGCAGGCGCACATCTTTGGGAAGGATCCCACGTCCCCGGTGCACATCGTTAATAAAGGACGCCTCTGCTTCTCTAACTTTGTGTGGAGAAGTTTTTCTTACCCACTGCAGATTTGCAACAGGGCGGTGACCCAACTGATACAAAATTCGGAGCTTCCAAACCCCCTTGCTTTCTAACGCTCCTCACTGAGGTGGGAGGCTCGGTGCAGCTGGGTAAGGATTCCGAGGTGAAAACTCAACAACAACAGGGGGTTATCAAGCAGCCATTCTTTACTGCAGCGCTGGGGATCGTTCCACCATGAGTGCTCCTCCGGGCTAGCAAAACACATCAGTTCATACCCACACAAATCATACATATTCATCAGATTTCCTGAGAAGGGCAGTCTCATGGTGGTGAGTTCCTGGCATTCTTAAGTCTTCCTCATGCTGTCCTCGAGTTGAATCCTCCTTCTTGAGCACAACATGCAACCTCTTGTAACAATCTGTCCTGTACTAGACGGGTCTCCTTAATGTCTGGAGCTTTGTCTCCTTGGTGTCTCCTTAATGTCTCCTTGATATCTGGAGTTTTGTCTCCTTGATGTCTCCTTGATATCTGGAGTTTTGTCTCCTTAATTTCTCCTTGATATCTGGAGCTTTATCTCCTCGAAGTCAGGCAAGATGTTCCCTATTTATCAACTTTGCTCAGCAAATGGCTAAAACCATCCTTGTGGGGGAAGGAAAACTCAGGAAAACAAAGACTCCAGCGAAATTAAACAAAAATACGGGAGTAAAGCTTTTATGTGTCACAGTGAGGCCTCGGTCAGGGACTGTCAGGGTTTGGCTCCCTCAATGTGCTTCAGGCATGTCCCCACATTGCACAGGCGTGCCCCCACGCCCGTGCACGCGTGTCCCCACACTCACACATATGCCCTGGACACATCCCTGCAATGCACACGCGTGTCCCCATGTGTACACATGTGCCCCTATGCCCACACACGAGCTCCGGTCACGTCCCTGCATTG